CTCCACCCGTAGTTTTCAGAGTACATTCAAGCTCAAGTCGATTCTGGCAAAGGAAAACTGGCTCCTGGTTTTGATTTCGAAAAGATCGTTAAAAATATGTTCACCAATCAAGACCGGGATGGAAACGGTAAAGTTACCGCTGAAGAATTCAAGTTGAAAGACCAGGAGGCCAGAGAGGAACACGATGAACTGTAAAGCTAAGAAAAAAAGAAGAGCCCTGAGTTGACCTACTGTTCGAACAACGGGTACTGGAAGAGGTTTTGGCAAGCATGTTTCTGAAAGGTGAGCACTCAGCCTGCGCCCGCCTGTGCCTATGTGCTGGTAGGCTGTTAAAATAGGAAGAGATTTTCAGTTGGAATTGTTCGGTATATTTGAAAAAAGTGTTAAGTGCCTCGAGATAGGATGTGTAAACGGATCAGGAGCATACTGCCACACGTGGTGTCGTGAACCACGTGGTCTGTTTCTATGCTGAAGATTAGAAGTCAGCATTGAATATCACACCATCACTTGGATGGGTGCATGGTAGGGAGAAAACTTACCGAGTGCTTCTAAAAGAGTTTTAAAAAACTTTCCATATCCAAAATGACTCTGCAGGAGAACAAACCAGCAACTAGTCCCCATGAAAATAACCTGTAAAAATTGTCAGACGTTGAGCCCAGTTCCCAAAAAAACTCTTTCCAGTAACTGAACAAACTCATACGAATATTTGCCAGCAGGAACTCTGATTTGCAAATTGCAGAACATGCAAACAATAGCTATGCCATTGCAAAATTTCCATAAGCTGTGAATTAAAGTAAACAGGCCTTGAATTGTAACTGTGTATGTGCTGGGTTTTTACCTTACGAAATAAAAGCTTGCTACCATCTGTATTGTATTTAATTAATAACCTTGACTCTTCTTGCTGGCTGGTTGAAACAGCGATTCCCAAAACCTTTCCGGTTGCAACCTTATTTATAGTTTTGTTAGATTTTAAATATTAGTATTATGGGGTCCAAATACTGTCGTAAGTACAGGATACAATTGAATTTGTGTTGGGCTTCTGCCTCCTATTTTGGGAATTGTTAGACTAAGGAGTAAGTACTTAGAGCTTACGCAGCAGCGCAGTCTGGCGTGGCAAACAAACAAAAAGACGGTGATAGAATCAAGAAATAGAGCCATCTGTTTGTGCCTGCAAATGTTCTGGCCTGTCCCTCAGTGCAAAACCAGACCTGGGAGTGCTGCTTAGATTATGTGAACCCTTGAGACAGTCACCCAGTTAGATCTATGGATGTAGCAGGCTGTTCAATAGAAAATACACTAAACAGCCCCATGTTTGCAGAAGGCCGTATGATCCCCCCTCAGTACACTACACGTAAAGAGCACAAATACGTATAGTGCGGCAGTGTCAAAGACAAGTAGAAAGGGAGTTGTGTTCCCATTACATGCTTTGTGTCTCGTTTCTTGCTTTTCTTGATCTGTACATGTGGGTTGTAAGCTCCCTGAGACGCTCTTTTGAAAAACTGGTATTTCAATCGGATGAAAACATTTTGTATTGGTTTTTAATACGGTTGTAACAGAAAGTGCAGTGAAATATTTTTGAGTTTGATACCATTAAATGTTGGATAACTGATCTTTTTGTTAAATAAAATGTTGATCAACTATTACTGTTAAGGTTTCTTTTTTTTTCTGGCATTTTGATGGTTGAGAACTTGAGTCGAAGCAAGTACCCTTTATGCAGCCCTCTTCTCTTGCACACAGCAGGCTTATCCTGAGCACATTCAATACTGCCATTGATCTTCAGGAAACATATTTTAAACTAAGATTATTTGGTTGAGAATGATTGAAAATAATAAACTGCAATAAAAGATTTTTTTTTCATACTTCACACAGGTGAGGTGAAGTGAAGTTATTCTTCGGCTTTGGGAGGAGTTCCCTCAATTACCCATCCCAGATTGCCATCAGCTGTGGCAGTTGGGAGGGTGATGGTTCTCTGGGCTGGGGGCTCCAAGTCTCTCCTTGAACAAAATAGTCTTACATAGGAAAGAACATTTTGTTCCCCAGGCTAGCAAAAGCAAACTCACCAGGCTTTATATCTGAGGTTTGATGTTTTCACTTCATCAGTACCTCAAAAAACACTTGTATTGCATGTAAAATGCTGGAAATCTGGTCTGGATTGATGTAAATACTGGCTCTTTATATCACATGTAAGTCCGTGAGGTATCAGTGGATGGCACTTGCCATCCAAATGTTTATGACCTGAATGGCTCCTTAGAAGCGTTACCATCTTGCGAAAGCAGCTTTCTCAGAAGGCTGTTGCACAAAATTTCCTCCTTTCTTTTATTTGGAAGTACATGTCTCGCTTGTCGCTGTGGTTCAAAGGCATTGCTCCTGCATGCTTACGGAGCTGAGATGAGGAGCGGGAAGCAAGTTGTGGTTGAGCGCTGCCAGAAAGCAGTCCTCGGTGTGGAAACAACTCCTTACTCTGTCCTTATACATACCCCCAAAGCCCAAGTGGGTCTTATGGATATCCAAGATTGTTTTATGTGAGAAAATCCTAGTGGATAGGTCTTTCTGCACGGAGGATCATCCTGGATGGTTCCCAGGAGGCGGTCTGAAGAGCACCCAGTAAACCTGGTCAGCAGAGCCATGCTGCAGGGCAGATGCAGGACAAAGAGCAGCACTGCGCACAGAAGTGCAGTCAGTCGGTAATCCTGAAGATCACCATGCTGGTTTTTTTTGGAAGCAGAGGTCAGTGATGGGATGGCAGGTGTGGCTTTACCAGTGCCTCCAGCTAGGGTGAGTACATCTGAAATTCTCATTCTGTTGCTCCTTAGGCCTTAGCAAACGTGGTTCGTGATCCATCTACATGATGTTTTTCTGTCAAGAGGAAGTTTTTGTTGCCCCATACCTCATTCCCCCCACTCCCAGGTCTGGAGGCTGCCATTTGGAAATGAGAACACAGCTTTGGGGGAAAGCAGAGAATAAATAGATAAACCTGCTGCAAAATAATTGTATTTGTAGTGGGTGTTTACTTGCCCAGGCTGCTGCTGCTGCTCTAGTGAAACAGCCAGGTGCTATTCTCAGAGCTGGGCAGCGGACTCCTGCGGGGCAGCTGGTTGATGGAAGGAAGCTGCCTGCAGACAAGGTTGGCAATTACCTACCGGACTGTTGGAGGCTCACTGGAAAGGAAAAGGAACATGGGTGTGTACCCAGAAAAGTCCAGGTATTTATAAATATTTTTTCTGTGTGATTTTTTTCTGTCCTAATTTGACAGCAATACTTTCCTGCCATATAGCTCTGCCTGTTCCAAGTATATTCAGAAATTACACTTAAATCAGAGTTTGCAGTTGTTGAACTCAAATATTATTTTTTTTTTTGTGCAAAAAAATATTCAGGTTTTCCTTTAAGCTTAAAAATGGCATGTTTAGCTAGTGCTTGGCACAAGTTCTTGGCTCAGTTCAGGACTATTAGCGTGTGTTTGACAGTAAGAGGACATTTGAGCTGGCTGTAACAGCCCCTCTGAAGGAGGAAACATTTTTAGCTAAATAAAGGTCCCAAATACTTGACCTTGGACAAGTGCTACAGACAGAACAGATATTGTGAGTAGAGGGGGGGAAAAAAAGTAACAAATTCACTTAACTTTACTGCTTATTCCTTGCTTTAAACTTCAGATATACTCTTTTGGCTATGGGAAAATGGTCTGGGAAACGTATGATACATTTTCCAAACTGAATCAGAAACGAAATACACTTTTAAAGTTGTAAAATGTTTCTGGTTAGACATTTGATTTAGAAAGACATACTGTGAATAGTCTCTCTTTCCTAAGACTGAACGCAGAATCTGGGTAGCAATTACAAGAATTAGGCTTGCTGGAGAAGGATTGGTTTAACCTGTAGCTGCAGCATTAATTTTGTTTTGCAGTTAATTCTGCTCATGCTTTTGGAGAGGCAGCAAATAGTATCAATTCTTACTTCCAGCCAACAGGCGAGCGACAAAAAGGTGGGATTTTGAAAAAGTGGAGGATATCTAAAAATGCATCTTGTGTTTTCCCCTAACTATCATCTAAGCAAGAGTTATTGTTGGCAGTGGGATGTGGGATGATGAAAGGATATTGATAATCTGTACAGCACTATGTAGGTTTTTTAAATCATCAGATCTCCCAGTTCAAGTTGATCACTAAGTAACTGTTTTCTCTAGGCAGCTATACGTATGGCATTTCAAGAAGTAAAATTATTTGGCGTGCAGATAACCCTTTGTACAGGAAATGGGTTCTATCAGATGATGGCAACGTGGCTGGGGTGCTCTTATGTCCGAGCAAAAGTTCACCGCTCTGGCAAACCCTTAACACAGAATCTGAGACTGGCAGTATTCAGTGACAGAAGGAGAGAAGTGTGCTGGAGACCTTAACTTACCTGCCTCCTTGCAGGAGGGTAAGAATCCTTTTCTTTAAGTGATTGTCATTGTGGACGGAAGGTTTTGTGACTGACCATTCATTGTCTGTCTGCTTGGAGGTGAGATTGGAAAAACTTCCTCACATAACGCTTGAGAGATGTCCCTTTGATCTGAAATCCTCTGCCAAGGCAAAGAGTTTTAAGTGTCTGTGTAGGTGGGAAACCATCAAGTGATCGCTTCTGATATGCTTGGGCTCTAGGAAGGCTGAATACTAATTTCAGTGACTCAGATTAAAATGTAGTTGGAGATCTGTTTGGGTAACTGCTTTTAAAGGTGCTGCCTAATCCTTTTCCATATTGATCTGCATGTGCTTCTCTATGGTTTTGGTTGGTTTTGGGTTGTTTTTTTTGAATTATGGGTAGGTTGAATGAGATGCTCCTCATCACGCTGCAGGAGTGATGGTTTGCTTCCTGTAGGGTTGGGTGAGGTTGAGGAAAAATTCTGGAGGGAGGATCAATGGTGAAATCCTGAGGCAAGCAGGATGAGAACATGGGGCAGTCCTGCCTCTCAGAATTGCCCCCTCCTTTTCAGCGATGCTGGGATGGCCAGGGAAATCCCTTATGCTTGTAGCCAGAATGATCTTGTGCCACAGAGCGTGTTGCTGACATATGTTTTGTTGTGGAGCTGTGGCTATCAGCCACTTTTCACATACTCTAAATTTTAACTGTTATCTCTATTCCAAAGGTAACCTGCTTGTAAACAGAAAATTTTGTCCCAGTGTAAACTTTGGGAGTAATGCCTGGCAATTAGACCCTTGCAACTGGAGACTGGTTGAGTAAGCAGTGCATCCAAACACCTTGGTATTTTTCAGAAGGCCTTTGCCTCTTGGACTTTTATTTGGCAGCTATGAAAAAAGAGCCAGCATGATTGCTTGTTTAAAAAAAACCAAAACCCACCAAATCCAAGAACCATCAACCCTACTTCCCTTAAAAGCTTGATGTTAGCTCAGCCGATGTAAATTCTGTAGGTGCCTAAAACACAAAATGTAGACTGTTAAAGAAATTGTGTCTGCTGACCTCCCCTGGAAAGGCTGCAGCATTCCCCAAGAACCTTGCCATGCCCAGGGTGGTGCAGACCATGCTGCTGAGTGGGCAGCTCACACCGATGTCCTGCGGGGAGTCATACGTAAGATCGCCCTCCTCATCAGTGCTGAAACCGTAGTGCTGGCAGATGACTGCGCAGAAGGCTGCTCCCTCCCTTACAGTTTTGCAGTACGGCCATCCTGCCCCCCTCCCTGGCCCAGGCGAATGTGGCGGCGGGCAGGGAGAGGCCACAGGGACGGGGTGTGAAGTTTGGCTCAATGGCACTTCCAAGCAGGAGAGGGTAGGGAGAAACTGCGTACCTTGTGCATTGGGGAGCGTCCTTCCTGCACCTCCTGGCTGGGTGTTTGGGGCACCTGCAAGCCTGTCCTGACCCACTGTGGTTGGCATGTTCTAACACACTTCCTCCTGGTCTTCTGTCATGAGCTGTACAAAGCTGCTCTGTCCTAGCTGCTCCAAGGGGATCTGCTACACCCCAACCTGCTGCCCTGGCCCATGACTTCTTCCACCCCACGCAGCTGCTCACCCTGCAGCTCCCAGAGCTGCAGCATCTCCCAGAGCTGCAGCATTGCCCCTGCTCAGCCCCACTGCCAGGAGCTCTTCTCACCTTCAGCCCATTCTGTGCAGCGTCTCCTGCTCGGCCACTCTTCACTCCTGTCAGTCGCACATCAACTGCAGCGCCTGCTGCTGCTGGGTGCTTGGTTTTGCGTGTCTGTGTATGAAAGAGAGGGTGAACAGCAGCTCTCTTGATGCCACTGACTCAGCAGCTGTCACTACTGCTTTTAAGCTCTCCCTGCCTTCTGGCTTTGGCTGATGGGCTCTTGGCAGGCCAGGGCTGGGGCAGCTGCTGCTCCCATCTCCTCCTGTCACTGGCCCTTCAAGGGCGCCTTGAGCTCTTCCAGTCTGCTGCCGCCTGAGTCATGGCTCTCAAATGGAAGGCAGCCAAGATGCTTAGCCTCTCCTCGGTTGTCTTACGGTTTGAGTGGCTTTCTGCTCAAATGGATGGCTTCTAAGGCTCCCGCTTCTGGGGATCTAGCTGCCCTTGTGCCAGGAGTAGAGAATTACACGACCGTGGATTGTACACAAGGAG